CGGGCTATGGCGAGCCCGTAATTTACCTGGCACAGGAGCGGGGCAAGTAGCACAGGCTAGGGTGAGCCCGTAGTGGATTTACCTGGCACAGGAGAGGTGCTGTGAGGAGCGCCTCCGCGGCGGCGACCCAGTCTTAAGGGCTGACAAAACGGGTCGACATTCACTTATTTTTTTTTCTTATGCGAGTTTTTTTTGTCAACTTTTATGACTGTCAAAATATTGAGTTACGGGTAAATTCTCAAACATTTTAGGTCAAGGATTTGTTCATTGATTAAACAATACTGTCAAAGGAAATTAAGGTAATTACATAAAATTACACTACTCTTACATTAAGGACAGTTACAGTCCCACTCCTGTGCCAGGAAACTCCACTACGGGCTCACCATAGTCCGTGCTACTTGCAACCTTTGTTCCGAATAGCTAAAACAAAACATGATCAACCGGGCTGTGATACATAGACGCGGCTACCAGCAGCTGCGTCTATGACCAGTCCAGGAAACCAAGAGGCCTGGTCAGGGACCGGGCCACAGGAGACGTTGAGCCCCGAAATCATCGCAAGGTAACCACTTCAGCTTAACTAGTTTATCACTAAAGAACAATAGTGTTTAGAGGCCTACATTAATTAATAGGCCTGAAGCCAAACCTCATTTACCCTAGTTATATATAACTATAAATCTATATAATATATAAATCAATGTTAGACCAAACATTTCTCACAGGTAATTAAATATCTGTTAAAACACCACTGAATATAAATTTTAGAGGTCATCTGGTGGCACTGAAGATCTTGGAAAGTCGTCCTCAGAGATATGACTAAGATCATTTAAGATGGTAGGAGTTCCCGCGCGTAAAATAGTAAATAGTTCCCCCCTCGAAAAATAATAAATAGTTCCCCCTCGACATTTGTGAAATGTCAACATTTGTAGTGTTCAGGGCGACCCAAAAACAAAAAAATATTGAAATACCAAAATAATATAGAAATTTAGTACCAAAAGATGGGACAAACTATAAACAGTCCTTATTTATTGAATACCTACATATCAAATTGTGAGTAAAGCGAGATACAAAAAGTTAATATAAAAACTACACATTCACAAACACGTCCATCCAATATTGTAGAAAACAGGAAAGAGAGAGAGAGAGAGAGGAGCAAGATCCTTGACATGTTTAGACAAGCTGCTGGTAGTGGTGGTGGTCCTGGGTGGTGGTGGTAGTGATTGTAGTGGTCCTGGGTGGTGGTAGTACTAAGTGATACTTACCTAACAACGCTAGCCTAACAGTATGTACTATTCGTGTCTGCAGAATCGAATTATTAGCTCTTGGACCTCGCCTTTCTAACCAATCTATTTTCCCTTCTATTATATCTACTACATCTATTTCTAGCGCGCGCATACCAGGAAACAGCCCATAGCAGCTAACCCCCAGGTACCTATTTACTGCTAGGTGAACAGGGGGCATCAAGGTGGAAAAACAGCCCATTTTGTTTATGCCTCAGCCTGGAATCGAACCCGGGTCATCAGGATTACGACCCCCCCCCCAAGCCACTCAGCCGCCAGGCCCAAACATTGACATCTCTGAGCTGGCTCCCTTGGGAAGATCATTCCCAAATTAAGGAACAGCAAAGGTCCCAACACGGAGCCTCGAGGGACTCCTCTTCCAGCTTGAAACTACCTCTCTGACTCTGCTTTCTGCCCTTCAGGTATTCCCTTAACCACTTCAGTGTTTTAACAGCACCCAGGTGGCGGTGGTAGTTGTGGTAGTGGTTGTGGTGGTGGGGGATAGTGGTGGCCGCCACCACCACTACCACCCGCGGGCGAAGTTTGTGTCGAGTGTAGAAAGCTCTCACACCACACTTTCTGTGGCTACCATTGTGGGGAGGGTGGAACATGGTGGGGGTGGGTGGGGGATGACTAGAGAATGGAGGGGGTGGTAGCCTAGTCCAAACAAACTTCAAAAACAATGAGAAATTGTCACGAAGCATGATGAGCTCACTAGCAGGGAATTAACACCACCAGGCGCCAATAGCCGACGTCTCTTGACAAACAAGCACAAACAATTCAGCATAAAAACAACAGTAAAATAACCGAGCACCCCCCCCCCCCCCTTCAAAATAACTTCATGCATGTAAATTGAAAAACACGACCGTGCCCAACATATCTTGCCGTTTCCCTTGCATATTTGGGTCAAGTAAATCACCCCTAGTGTGATTTACAAGTACTAATGTGTGAAAACAACCTCACTTGCCCCCTAATTTACAGACGGACAAATACTATTCACGATCCTTTCCCCTCCCCGGGCGAGGTGAATTTCAAACTAGGTAGGGGTGAGGGGGGGAAGCAATAACACCCCCCTCTCCCCCATTACACCCTACACAATCAATCCCCCCCCCCACTTTGGCGCCTCTCCCCCTATTCCACGAAATCCCTTTGTTGAACCACTTTGGACCACGAGTGTATATAAATATTCCTGTAATTTACTATCACACACACCATGTGACAACTGTTGAATTAAAAACGTATTTGTAATGTACTAAATGATGATTATTTGCATACTATAGTGTTCAGCGAGCTAGACCCAGAGAGAGAGAGGCATAGATAGCCTTACCAGACTGATAACTTGGTCCAACAGGCTGTTGCTGCTTGGAGCTGCGTATTTACACTCCAGCGAGTCAATCTACATGTTCACCAGGACCCAGACAGACAGACAAGGACTAGCCACCTGCAGCAAATCTTTCAGGTTATGCAAATTACTAACATATAAAAAAGAAAAGAATTTGAGTATTGGCAGTAAACGTCCCGCTCAGAGAGGTTAGCCTCATCTCAGGCGAACAATTGGGCATTCGATCGTTTGAATTCTATGGCCGCTGATTGGCTGTTTGTACTCCAGGTACACCATTGGCAATTTGGGAACGTTGTCTGCCAGTGTATGTGTGTGTCTACCCTCTCTTGATATGTCTGTCGCTCAATCTCACTAAGCCTATAGCACTAGGCCTATCTGCACGTAAGGGGGGAACAGCATAGGCTGGAGGCGAGTGAGCATTAACAGGACCAGCAAGCACAGGTCCTGTTGACAGCATAATTCACCGCAGCAGACAACAGGTGGCAGCCCCGTCTCTCCCTACACAGGACTTATAGACACCGATTGTGCATACATCTAAGAATACAGAGCAAGTGAGTTTTCCATGTATATTTCCCCTAGCCCTTTCTAAAGCATACATATATGCACGCCTGTTAGATTCAGCTACTCAGAACGAAATGGCCATGTAGCACGGGCTATGGCGAGCCCGTATATATACACGCTGAAACACGTCATATGACGCAGCCAAACTCACGTATAATCCCTCACCTGAACCACCTGCGAACCACACAAGCCAACAAACGCTCATGACATTAAGCACACTTTACAAAGACCTAATCACGTCGGGGATAACATGATAATCATATCTAATCCAGTGACTTAACACCCCCTTATTACCCCTCCCCCCCCGTTTCGGCAACCCCATTTTAGCACCTCTAACAAAAGGGGGTGAGGATGGGGGGGGGGGGTTGACTAGTACACCTGTTAGTCCATCTGGTAATTAATACCAGGTACACTTTCCCCGCGCAGGGGTGGGGGGGGGGGAAGAGGAAAATGAGAGAGGGGGTGGGAAAGGAGTGAAAGAGGGGGAGGAGGAGGAGAGAGAAAGGTACAGAAATCTGTACAACAGGAGCAGTTATCGAGGCAAGGAAACGTTGCTACTAAAATGCCACCAATATTGCTTGGGCCTGCAACAATACAGCCTCATACAAAACCCTAGGCCTATACATCTTGTATGAACATGTTTTGCTATAATTTATGCCAATCGTAAGGAGATGGCGCTAGGCTAGTATGTCGATTTAGTAATTGATAAAGAGTGTAGGTTCCAGCTTAATATTGAACAGAATACAAATACCAACAGCCAAATGAATCTTAGGAGCTTCCAGGAAAACTGGTTAACACTAATACGGAGAAATATTCCCGGTACGCTTTGGTAATTCGTGTCTTTCCGCAAGCCTAATGCGTCAGAGAAAGATTTATCCTACTGTCTGTTTTTGTTCCTACAATGACGACATCGACTCTGTCCTACATTTGCTTTTGTTCAACATTGATTTTTTTTCCATTTTAACCCCCGCAAGTCCCATACAGCGATTAACAAATAATTACCCCAGAATCAGAATCATTAAAAAATTGAGAGCCTAGCATTGAATTTTTTTATTCTTTGAAATTATATATATATATATATATATATATATATATATATATATATATATATATATATATATATATATATATATATATATATATAAATATATATATAATATAATGAATTCTATTTACGTTGGTACGTCTAAGCGTAGGCTTATGTGGTACGTCTAAATATAAGCCTATATGACCTTCAAGGTCACAGAATTACACACACAGGAAAAAAGAAGGTTGAGGAGCCTATTTTCCTAGATTGTCACAAGGTATTTGATCCTGTATCACTTACGAGAGGCTAGTAGTCAAGAGAGAGAAGCAAGCCGGGATAACAGCCAAGACCCTGAACTGGGTCAAGACAATCACCTGAAGGACTTAATCACAGACGAGGCTTAGAGCTGAAGAAAGGAAACAAGGGCTGGGGGGTCCCCTAGGGTCGATCCTGGGACCACTGCTGTTCCTAATTTATGTAAACGACCTGCCCGAGGGAAAGACTGCTCGTACATGCCAACGATTGCAGCCGACTCAGAGCTAACGAGGCGTGTAGAAGCCGAGGATTGTAATAGGTTACAGGATGACAAACTACAGGAGTGGGCAAACAAATGGTTGCTGGAATTCAATACCAGCAACTGTAAGGTAATGCCGATTGGAAGAGGTGACCAGAAGATAATTACGAGAGGACGCTAACTACACGAGTCTATATAATTTCAATATTACCTCCAGTAGTGTACACGGACACAGACACACGCACACAGACAGATATACAGACAGACACAGACACTTACCTCGCCCACAGATCCCCTCATCTCCCTCACCCTCTCCATGAAGCTGAGACAAGCGGGCCTACCACATCCTTGAAGACTCAGATCACTCTCTCACTCCTCGTTCAAATCACCACCTTAGACCCTTTAAGAAATCCTTCCTTTATCAACTAAAACCGTTTCCAATCCCAACAATATTAGGCTCCAAAGTTAGGGATTAGTTTGCTTATCCATCATTGCAATCACTTCCACAGAATTAGCACGTAGTTGCAACGAGAGAATATGTCTGTATTGGAAGTATCTCTGCAAGTTCTCTTAACAAATTTATAGTCCAAGAGACACAACCTCCCCCCACCACGTCTAGACACACACTGAAGTCTGACCGCCGCGCTCCTGGCGGCATTCGTCGACATTAACGACTCGACTTATAGCAGCGACCGTTTTGTCATTTAAAAGATTCCAATATTCGCGGAATTCTTTATAGGGAAAACAAACTACTGTGTAAGCTGCGTAAATACCATTATACATATTCCTAAAGATACCATTGTTTGTATATATCAATCTCGACCAGTTAGCGGTTCAATAAAAGGTTAGATTATTGTTTCGAGTATTTATACATTCCGATCCACCAGTCAGGGCTGGCGGGCAGAAGTCGTTTTCCAGAAAGTGTGTATGCGTGCGTGTGTGTATGTGTATGCGTGCGTGTGTGTATGTGTGTGTGTGCGTGTATGTGTATAAGTGCGTGTGTGTATGTGTGTGTGTGTGTGTGTACTCACCTAATGTGTATATGTGCGTGTGTATGTGTGTGTGTGTCTGATAGAGGGTAACAAGTACATTTGTTGCTGTAGTACACTAGTCTGCTGGGAAGTGTACTACACTAGTCTGCTGGGAAGTGTACTACACTAGTCTGCTGGGAAGTGTACTACACTAGTCTGCTGGGAAGTGTACTACACTAGTCTGCTGGGAAGTGTACTACACTAGTCTGCTGGGAAGTGTACTACACTAGTCTGCTGGGAAGTGTACTACACTAGTCTGCTGGGAAGTGTACTACACTAGTCTGCTGGGAAGTGTACTACACTAGTGTGCTGGGAAGTGTACTACACTAGTCTGCTGGGAAGTGTGCTACACTAGTCTGCTGGGAAGTGTACTACACTAGTCTGCTGGGAAGTGTACTACACTAGTCTGCTGGGAAGTGTACTACACTAGTCTGCTGGGAAGTGTACTACACTAGTCTGCTGGGAAGTGTACTACACTAGTCTGCTGGGAAGTGTACTACACTAGTCTGCTGGGAAGTGTACTACACTAGTCTGCTGGGAAGTGTACTACACTAGTCTGCTGGGAAGTGTACTACACTAGTCTGCTGGGAAGTGTACTACACTAGTCTGCTGGGAAGTGTACTACACTAGTCTGCTGGGAAGTGTACTACACTAGTCTGCTGGGAAGTGTACTACACTAGTCTGCTGGGAAGTGTACTACACTAGTCTGGGAAGTGTACTGGGAAGTGTACTACACTAGTCTGCTGGGAAGTGTACTACACTAGTCTGCTGGGAAGTGTACTACACTAGTCTGCTGGGAAGTGTACTACACTAGTCTGCTGGGAAGTGTACTACACTAGTCTGCTGGGAAGTGTACTACACTAGTCTGCTGGGAAGTGTACTACACTAGTCTGCTGGGAAGTGTACTACACTAGTCTGCTGGGAAGTGTACTACACTAGTCTGGGAAGTGTACTACACTAGTCTGCTGGGAAGTGTACTACTAGTCTGCTGGGAAGTGTACTACACTAGTCTGCTGGGAAGTGTACTACACTAGTCTGCTGGGAAGTGTACTACACTAGTCTGCTGGGAAGTGTACTACACTAGTCTGCTGGGAAGTGTACTACACTAGTCTGCTGGGAAGTGTACTACACTAGTCTGCTGGGAAGTGTACTACACTAGTCTGCTGGGAAGTGTACTACACTAGTCTGCTGGGAAGTGTACTACACTAGTCTGCTGGGAAGTGTACTACACTAGTCTGCTGGGAAGTGTACTACACTAGTCTGCTGGGAAGTGTACTACACTAGTCTGCTGGGAAGTGTACTACACTAGTCTGCTGGGAAGTGTACTACACTAGTCTGCTGGGAAGTGTACTACACTAGTCTGCTGGGAAGTGTACTACACTAGTCTGCTGGGAAGTGTACTACACTAGTCTGCTGGGAAGTGTACTACACTAGTCTGCTGGGAAGTGTACTACACTAGTCTGCTGGGAAGTGTACTACACTAGTCTGCTGGGAAGTGTACTACACTAGTCTGCTGGGAAGTGTACTACACTAGTCTGCTGGGAAGTGTACTACACTAGTCTGCTGGGAAGTGTACTACACTAGTCTGCTGGGAAGTGTACTACACTAGTCTGCTGGGAAGTGTACTACACTAGTCTGCTGGGAAGTGTACTACACTAGTCTGCTGGGAAGTGTACTACACTAGTCTGCTGGGAAGTGTACTACACTAGTCTGCTGGGAAGTGTACTACACTAGTCTGCTGGGAAGTGTACTACACTAGTCTGCTGGGAAGTGTACTACACTAGTCTGCTGGGAAGTGTACTACACTAGTCTGCTGGGAAGTGTACTACACTAGTCTGCTGGGAAGTGTACTACACTAGTCTGCTGGGAAGTGTACTACACTAGTCTGCTGGGAAGTGTACTACACTAGTCTGCTGGGAAGTGTACTACACTAGTCTGCTGGGAAGTGTACTACACTAGTCTGCTGGGAAGTGTACTACACTAGTCTGCTGGGAAGTGTACTACACTAGTCTGCTGGGAAGTGTACTACACTAGTCTGCTGGGAAGTGTACTACACTAGTCTGCTGGGAAGTGTACTACACTAGTCTGCTGGTAAGTGTACTACACTAGTCTGCTGGTAAGTGAAATACACAAGTCTGCTGGGAAGTGTACTACACTAGTCTGCTGGGAAGTGTACTACACTAGTCTGCTGGTAAGTGAAATACACTAGTCTGCTGGGAAGTGTACTACACTAGTCTGCTGGGAAGTGTACTACACTAGTCTGCTGGGAAGTGTACTACACTAGTCTGCTGGGAAGTGTACTACACTAGTCTGCTGGGAAGTGTACTACACTAGTCTGCTGGGAAGTGAAATACACTAGTCTGCTGGGAAGTGTACTACACTAGTCTGCTGGGAAGTGTACTACACTAGTCTGCTGGGAAGTGTACTACACTAGTCTGCTGGGAAGTGTACTACACTAGTCTGCTGGGAAGTGTACTACACTAGTCTGCTGGTAAGTGAAATACACAAGTCTGCTGGGAAGTGTACTACACTAGTCTGCTGGGAAGTGTACTACACTAGTCTGCTGGGAAGTGTACTACACTAGTCTGCTGGGAAGTGTACTACACTAGTCTGCTGGGAAGTGTACTACACTAGTCTGCTGGGAAGTGTACTACACTAGTCTGCTGGGAAGTGTACTACACTAGTCTGCTGGGAAGTGTACTACACTAGTCTGCTGGGAAGTGTACTACACTAGTCTGCTGGGAAGTGTACTACACTAGTCTGCTGGGAAGTGTACTACACTAGTCTGCTGGGAAGTGTACTACACTAGTCTGCTGGGAAGTGTACTACACTAGTCTGCTGGGAAGTGTACTACACTAGTCTGCTGGGAAGTGTACTACACTAGTCTGCTGGGAAGTGTACTACACTAGTCTGCTGGGAAGTGTACTACACTAGTCTGCTGGGAAGTGTACTACACTAGTCTGCTGGGAAGTGTACTACACTAGTCTGCTGGGAAGTGTACTACACTAGTCTGCTGGGAAGTGTACTACACTAGTCTGCTGGGAAGTGTACTACACTAGTCTGCTGGGAAGTGTACTACACTAGTCTGCTGGGAAGTGTACTACACTAGTCTGCTGGGAAGTGTACTACACTAGTCTGCTGGGAAGTGTACTACACTAGTCTGCTGGGAAGTGTACTACACTAGTCTGCTGGGAAGATTACCAGTGTCAATATTAATTACATCGTTACATTGTTAGAGATATAATGACCGTCAGTCGTCTTATTGTTGACGCCAGGGTCATTATCTTGGGTCATTATACGGGCGGGTGGAGGAAGGTGATTGTTAAGTTGTGGTGATGGTAGTTAGTGATTGTTTAGTTGTGGTGATGGTAGTTAGTGATTGTTTAGTTGTGGTGATGGTAGTTAGTGATGGTAGTTAGTGATTGTTTAACTGTGGTGATGGTAGTTAGTGATGGTAGTTAGTGATTGTTTAACTGTGGTGATGGTAGTTAGTGATTGTTTAACTGTGGTGATGGTAGTTAGTGATTGTTTAACTGTGGTGATGGTAGTTAGTGATTGTTTACCTGTGGTGATGGTAGTTAGTGATTGTTTAACTGTGGTGATGGTAGTGATTGTTTAACTGTGGTGATGGTAGTTAGTCATGGTGATGGTAGTTAGTGATGGTAGTTAGTCATGGTGATGGTAGTTAGTGATGGTAGTTAGTCATGGTGATGGTAGTTAGTTATTGTTAAGTTGTGGTGATGGTAGTTAGTGATGGTAGTTAGCCGGGGCTTTAATGTCCCCGCGGCCCGGTCCTCGACCAGGCCTGCACCCCCAGGAAGCAGCCCGTGACAGCTGACTAACACGCAGGTACCTATTTTACTGCTAGGTGACAAGAGCATAGGGTGAAAGAAACTCTGCCCATTGTTTCTCGCCGGCGCCCGGGATCGAACCCGGGACCACAGGATCACAAGTCCAGTGTGCTGTCCGCTCGGCCGACCGGCTCCCTGTGGTGACACAGGGGTGACACAACCCATAATCAACCAACCAATCAACCAACCACTCAACCAAAAAGATGTTGCATATTTGACAAATGTTGAAATCGACAAATCTGGAAGGTGGTGATCATGTCCCCCTCTTCTGTCAACTAGTTTTGTGCCTATTTAAAGCCTCCAGTCTCTCAGGGTTCTAGTATGGTGCCGGAGCCATTTGGCAGGATTTCTTTGCACCTTTTCTAGTTAATTTGCTTTTTTTTTAAATATGAGCATCAGACAGTTGCTGCATATTCTAATTGACGTCTCACGTACGTCGTAACAATATTTACGAGTAGGGAGGTCTTCTTACTGGACCGTTGAAGTGCCCCGCCTACCAACCATGTTGTACCTATTGCCTTATAACTGAACGATTCTGACGTTCAGATTCTTTGTCGAATCTGGCCTTAAAGTTGTGGATGGAGGTGGTTTCCACAACCTCCTCTTTCAGTGTGTTCCATTTGTTAATCACCCGTAGAGTATACGAGTAATTCCTTACATTACTTCAACTCATCTGTGTTTCCAGCTTCCAATAATGTCCTCTTGTCCTACTTTCTCTTACTTCAGAGCGGCCGTCCTTGTCTACCTTGTTAATTACTATCAGTATTTTGTATGTCGGAATCATGTTCCCTTCGT